AACACGATATATTATATAATACACAACAGACCCCGACCCAATTAGTCGGATCTACGACGAAGGAGCACACGTACATTTTACTACGGAGTTTTGCTCTGTCGCTTTAACGGCGTATCGTATACAATACACAGTCGTAGTAGTCGGGACGGTTTTATTAAATAATAACCTACAGCCTGGCCTTAAGCTTCGCGCACAAGACTTCGCGCAGGGGTCGACGGCAGCGTGCCGCAGCGTTTCCGAAAAGTTATGTGCGCGCGCTTGCGTCAAAATTAAGGGTAGCTGTTATTATATTATGTATTGCGTTATTTTGTATACCGTTATTAATTATTATCATCGCGCTCGGGCCGTGTTTGTTTTATAATTATTAATATTATTACTATTATTACTATTATTATTATGATTATGTACGGATTTCGCGCGGGGCCAAATTAAATCAGTAAGAACTGCGTTAAAAACGCCAGAAACGGATCGGACGCGCGCCCGACCACCGTGCCTGCGAATCGAATCTATATAAATTGCACGGCCATGCAGCGATATATTTATGTTTTTCAACATTTGTCGATAAAATATTGTTACGATTATAATAAACCAAATAAACGTACGCTTTTATTATAACGGCCGGAGGCTGCAGCGCCGTATCATAATAATCTTCTGTTTGTATATTTATTCGCAAAGTAGGTTTACTCGTTTTGATATTAAAAAAAAATAATAATAACGTGACGCGTTGGTATTATTATTTGTTTAATTAATTGTGTGAGTATTTGTCCGCTGTAATTTAAAATCCACTTACCGCAAAGTAAATACTGCCCTGAGTAGATGGCGGGATGCATTCGATTTACCAGCTGATGCCTGATGATGATTATAATATTATTATGAATATCGCGTGGTCGAAATTCCCTCCGCCGATGCGTATTTGTGTGCGTGTGTGTGTGTGGGGGGGTTATTCTCCCCTATTTATATACACCCCCCCCCACTCCGTCCACTGTCCACTAGCAGATTTTTAACATTCAATACGTATATCATGTAATATAACATAACATATTATTATATAATATAAAACGCGTAAAGATATTCTATGTCCGAATGCGTATTATGCGATAAAATTTCAAAATAATATGATATCGCTCGCGCACGAGGCTTTTCATTATACGAATTTTTATCGTCGCAGGAAATCACAGCTTTATTATTGATTGCATTGATAATATAATATAGGTATAACATTTTTATTATTTTTTTTATTAAGACTGTTATTGCTATCGTTCTCGAATTATCAAAACCTTTGATAATTAACTTTTTGATAACGTTTGATGTGTATAAATAAAATAAAAATAGTCATAATTATTTATTTTTTATATTACCTCTCCCTTCACCCCTAAAATTGAGTTTGACCCTACAGCTCTTCTCAACTGAATTAACTGTGAATGTACTTACCTAAGTTATATCTTGAAATAAAGCGTTTTTATACACCATTCTCGTATTCATTAATTAATTTAACATATATCTAAGAGCTTTATACTTTTATTAAGCTACTATGAACTTAATTTGTTAATAAAAGTCAATTATTTTTGTTAATAATTAGGTATCTTCTGTACCACAAGCGTATATTGTGTGATCGTGCAGTGGCTTTCAAATAATTATTAGTTTATTTTTTTTTTAAATCATTGCGAACAGGGTGGTATTTTATACAGCCTAGCCATTAATCATATATTATATAGATCAGTATTTGATGAATTATAAATTTAACCACGATTGATTTTAACTTAGCATATTAATTTGGAAGTTAACTGAAAAAGCTAAGTTATTATGACAATGATGGTCACTTAAGCTAGTTAAACTATTAAGTTAATTACAAAATTAGCAAACTAGTTAGGTTAGAACATTTTAAACAAATAACTTTTTAACTAGTTATAATACCTACCCACGTTTGGGTATGATACCCATGTCCTTCGTATAACGTGTCAATATCTTTTAAAAGGTTATTTCGCGTCAATGTTTTAAATTTAAATTAATAAAGAAAAAACTCTTCGAAATTACCATTTGTAAATAAATTGTTGAATTACTTTTGAAACGCCTACGCGGAGACGGGTGCTGCGCGTGTGGGGTTTACGTTACGTTTACCTACTTTTAAAACACGAGAGACTATTGGAAATTACATTGCAAATTCTGAAAGCGCAAAAAAGTTGAATATTTTTGCAGAGGAATGCACATTATATGTACATTACATCGTATTATTTACACCCACGTCCCACTTAGATTCAGTACATTTTCTAAGTGAATTAAATTAAATTTACTTAAAAATGAAATCGTAACTGTTTTCAACAGGTTCACTAAATTCTTCTTAAATAGCTAGGTAATATTTTAAATTCTTATTCAATTATTTCGTTCTCACGTATAAAATTCCAAACGAATTATAAAGCAAAAAAAAAAACTCAAATTGAAACTTAAATAAATATTGTACTCAAACAGATGAGTTTATTATAAACAGTTTAGTATATTTGTTGGTATTAGCAGTTTTTTTTGCATATATTTTAGTCTACACATTTTTAAACTTTATCGCCGTTCGCTAAATAAATGATTAAAAATATACTATAGTGATGCATTTCGATTAAGATTCTGACGTGTTGTGTATAAATAATATATTAAAGGAAACTTATAAAAGCGTATATATATTTGAATAAACGTGGTTTTTTAGAAATTGTTCAAAATTGAAATATAAAAATTAAATTATGTTTTGTCAATCGAGTTGTATCGAAATAATAATATGACCGATGGGAGTATAAAAATATCGATAAGTTTATTTAAAGGTTATCGCTCAAAATTTCCCAGAAATGTAATATAAAAGTTCGTAAAATATATTGCATATACAACTTAAAACGAAAACTTTTCTTTTTTTTTAAATTTTACAATATAATCAATACGGCGAATAATATGATATATTAATAAGTACCTAGTAAGAAAATTGTAAAATCATCTTTCAGATTGGTCGCTGTGATATATATTATACGCATTTTATATCATAATTTTCGATGTTACAATAATATATAGGTGTATACTTTGCTGTCGGGAAAGACAATTAGTACCCCCCTCGTATATTAATTTTGTAGATAATATTTTGTGTCAATAAAAACGTAATCCGTATAAACGAAATCGACCACTGCAGTTACCGTATATGTACATTAGCAGTATATTATTTAATCAGACATACCGATGATGCGTGTATATAGAATATAATACACACGCTGACGTACCACACTGGAGTGGGTGGACTATAATATAGTTGCCCGATGTTATAATTAAATATACAAGTGACAGAACGCAGCTTACGAAAACGGTTCTGGGCGGGAATGTTTTTATTGTACTCTGCCAAGCAAATGGACTTATTCTCTAAATAAAGTCTTCAGATTTTTTTTCAAAAATAACCGGGCAAACAATCTGCCCCGGTGATCTAATTAAAATTTTAATTTGTTATTTCAAAAATGTCTTTTCTTATCAGGGAATAGGGATTAACAGTGAAAACGAAAGCCGAATTCGATTACCTACGTACTCGGCAAATCCAAAACACTTTAAACCCTGTCAAGTAAACACTGTCAAATTATAATATTAACCCTTTGACCTGAATTTCAATATATTTTATGGTTATTGCTTTCTGATCTATTGACAGACATTATCTTTTATCAGCGCATACGATTTTCGACCGATTAATTCGCTTTATAAAATAATTGAAGTACAAAACCATATTATTATATAATATATTGAATGACTTGAGATTGTTTTCAGATAAAAAAAACTAATTATTTAAATTGATTTTGTGAAAAAAAATAACGCTGTCGAAGGTATGAAAATAATCAAAATATTTCACCTCGAAAAAAATAAGTACCAAAATCATATTTTATTTTCAATGCGTGTTATGTGTTCACCAAGATATTATTCAATATTTTTTTTCCAAATTTATGTTTATACATTTTTAAAATGACAACAATACAACACATTAATTACTGAAAATGAGATGTTAACTGAAACGTCAGTGTTTCGATAAAAATGTCAAATTTAAAACAGTATTTTGACATATTATATTAAATAATATAACGGTATATACTATAATGTGTCGGTGATTAAAGAAATCCGTTAAAAAAAAAGTGTTTAGTTTGAGGAAAATGTCATTAGAGATTTCGTGTCACACTATTTTATGTCGGTGATTATTTCACGATTAAATATTACTTCTCGTTATTTAAATTTTCTGGTGGTCACCCATCCGAGAACGAGTGACGGAGGGTGCGGCCTTAAATATAACCACGCTGACCTTCACATTGGTGAATATGTCAACTCGGTCTAATATTTGCGATCTCAGTTTATTCACAGTCATAAAGTATTTTCTCTCGACATTTTTAATTCACAGCGTGTCATCAATAAATAATATAATTTAATAATATTAAAGATCATAGATAGGTTACATAATAATATAATATATATATATTATAAGCTACCCAGTTACCCTATTGTGTTCTTGATATTTTAACATTGTGAAATTTTATTTACTGATTTTCATGACTACTATCGTACCTATTAATTTAAATACCAAATAAGTATGGTAAATATTTAAAATTATAATTATATAATTATATATATTTTAAATTATTTAAAATTAATCAGTTAATGTTACTTACAATAATTTATAATAGAATATTAACTTTTAATTCATTATTATTCTTATATACTTTTATTGATACAAAAATTTATATTATTTTACCTTTTCGTCGGTTTAATCAGTCTTTTGTTGTTGGAAGTTGAAATACCTACCAAATTATTGTATAACCAATAAAACAACAGTTAAATTCATAGGTACTTAATAAACTTCATTGCGTTTTTAAACACCAATAAATAATAATAATAATAATACCTATCTTAACGGATAAGGATTTTAAATAATGTGATATTGTTTTTCCAAATAAAAATTATAATATGTATAGTTTTTTATATTCCATTGTTATTTATTTTTTTAGGTGCATTTAGAACCGCAAGGAAAATTGCATCTACGAATAGATCTGAAATGGAATTCAAAAGGTAAACGTGTTTTGTTGTTTAAATAAGCATTTCAAAATATTTTTTCACACATTACAAGAAAAAATTTTAGTTTGAATAATTTAAATTTCAAAGCATTACTGGTCGATATTTATATTAGAAATAAATTCATCAGATTTACCAGTTCGCCCATTGGAATTCAAAGAACGACAAGGCCTATTGAACCGAAGACGTGGAGCCATGAGGAGACGAGTTCATCAAGTGAATGGACATAAGTTTATGGCGACATTCCTCAGGCAACCAACGTTTTGTTCACATTGCAGAAATTTCATATGGTAATGCAAACACTATTTAATAAGTTGGGTATTAAAAATTAATATGACGTATAATTATTAGGTATTATCATGGTAAATCCTAACAGGTAATAACCTATTTGTAGGTATACCTATGTGTTCGTAAAATAAAAGACACATTAAAAAAAATAAATTTTTTTATTTAGAACCCTAGTACCACTTTGAAAGAAAAAAACATATTTGCCTAATTACCTAATTACCTAATTATCTTATCATTAATTTTTGACTTCTATGAACGTCCGATTTGAGTAAAATGATACAAGTGTCAACTGCTAACATTTTAGTGTACTGCAAAATTAGCGTTTTTAATTACTCAAACAATAGTATTTTGTAATTCTGTAATAGAAATATCTAAATTAAACTCGATAAAATATGTTTTATTTCAAGTAAAAATAAAATTCGAATTTTATTATACTTCCCTATAATCATTTTCTTATTATGCCGTGCGTAGGTACTTACTATGGTTTCTATTGAACAGCAGGCCATCTCTGATTGCTCTGTTCTTTATTTATATGCTTCAAGAATTGCATTTATAAAATAAAACTGAATAGAAGTCTAATTTTGCTGTATATTATTTATTTTTTATCAAATAAATCGTTATTTCAGGTTTAAACTAAATTAAGCCCTTTTTAAGAATATATATGAAAATCCGTATACACCTGTTCAGAGTGCTTAAAATTCCCGGAAAATAAACTATGGTAGACTTATTAATGTCTATGTCAACATAAATTTAGAATGTATCAAGTAACTAATGCATCTTAACGTCTATACCATTTGTGTTACATTGTAATTATTATATTATTAAACTTACATTTTCCATATAATATAATATATATTACATTTTTGTAAAATCGATATTTAAATTCGCGACGTTTCTATCATATATATAATAGAATTAGTACATTAAAAATAAATTCAGCTCGAAAACTTTTTACAAAAAGTTTTAAATATTTTCTATGTTTAATATATATTTTTAAAATATCATCAAGTACTAAATTGTATTTTCATTATAACAAACGTTTCATCTGCTGCAGAATTATATCGGGAAATCATTATAATATGTTATATGTATATATACTATATAGCTATCGTATTGCTATCATCTTTGTTTTTAAATTTTTCGTAAAATTCTGAAACCTTCTAGACTTGATTATAATTTGATTGATATGCATAGTATATAATTTCAGATCAGTCCTGTTCGGTATCCATTTCATTTATAATTTGTTATTTGAAGTTTCTGTTTATAAATGGGTGACGGTTGATTTGTTGATTTTTGTGTTTAAATTCAGTTTTTAATGTACTGTAGGCATCGTCTATATATTAACAATAATAATAAAAAAAAGTAGATAAATAAAAAGAACTAAAAACTAACTTACTATTCATTATTAGCTTAGAGTCAACTGGGTCATAAGCATTTTTTTTTATTTAACATTAGTTTTCATTTTATCTACTGATAAATGTAGGTCATAATATTATACGATCAAACAAAAATTTTAAGCTTTTATAAGTATATCAAACTATTATTTAAATCATATTTTTTTGCATTTCAAAACCATTAGATACAATGGTACTATATGGTATGTATATATTATAGTATAATACTCATATTAGGACCATACCTGTTCATTTTTAATAATATATTCCTATTATTCTCTTATATTGTATTTTTTTTATATATACATAGGTATATGAAATATTTTATAAGCATTAAAATACAAAATGTCGTCATGCTTTTGTCACGATGAAAAATCCGTCGAATTAAAACTTAAAATAACATTTTTGAAATTTGTTTGATTCCACGCAATTATTCCTATACATCCGAAATAACTTAAAATATGATGAAAGGTACAAAAGCATTCTATAAGCATACTTAGTTTATAGTATTATATAACACAGTAAAGCGTTTTAAATTTTAATGGCATTCAACGCATACCCAAAGATAAAATGTTAACAGCTGTCAATTTGTTTAATAATATATGCTTATAATATTTTAATTACGTATTTATATTTTGGTTTCATTCGCTCGCTATTACTGTATCTTAAATAGGTCAACAGACGTATTAGATAATAATAATTATACAGTAGATACCTTACATTGTATAAGGACCTATAAAATATGTAAAAATAACATTCTTTATATACAGCGCAGATACATGTTTTATATTATCAATTAATTGTTATTGAGTAGAGATTAGATTTCAAAGTCCAAAAACTTAAAAATTAAGTTTTAAAATTGTTCACTTATTTGAGTAAAAAATGTAAAAATATTAACAGAAAATATACCAAAAAAAAAATAAACATATTCAATTGTATTTAAAAATCGTGTGGAAATAAACAAAGTATGAAATTATTATTAATTTTTCACGTGAAAAAACTAAAGTTACGATTTTAAATAATTAACTGCCTAATACCTATACTTAAATTTTTTTTTAGATATTAGGTCGCTGACGTAGAAACTGAAAAAGTTGTCACTAATAGTGTTATCTAATATTTCTCTAAATGTGTTATGAAATTATTATCGAGAATATTATCGCAGTTATACATTTTTGGTTTCATTATTAATAATGTTTGTTCCTCTTCCTATCTACATAGAATCCTCAAAAAAATATTTGTAAAAATGCTCCATCTTTTTTACATACATTTTTAGTTCAGAATATAATATTTTAGTTAATTATTACATAGAATAAAATATGCTCCGAAAATTCCAAAAATGTTTGAATGCCAAAATATACAAATAAGCCTGAGGACCGTCGTGACTGAAACACATACTTATATGGAATTTTATCACTGCAGAATAATTATAAAAAAAACCCTCACTCATCATAACTTCATCGCCGATTATTATTATTACTGTTATTATGAACAAAATTTAAAATAATAATATCTTCCCGTTACTTATATCGATGATCAGCGCATAACACTTAAATATTATACATCACTACGCTTTAATAATAATAAAATACCGATCGTTATAAGAAATCTGAATGTTGTGAATAATATTTTCACGATAATTAGAATCAAAATATAATAATAATAACAATAGATTTTAATTATACTGATTTGTTTTTGGGAACACATATATTATACAGTGTCAGGGGCGTACTCAAGGGGGGGTTCGTGGGGTTTGAACCCCTCCCATGACCTTACTAACCGATGCACTTTTGTGCGTTCTTGTTTATACATAATATAATTCATAGGAGCAATTTTCTAAAAAAAAATTTTTAAGAAGGGAAAAAATAAACAAATATATTTATTTTCAATTTTATATCAACATTCATTATACAACGATTACAAGCATTATCTGTTAAGAACTGTATTATGATAACCAGATAAAATTTAAATCAAACATACAAGGTGTATTGATAAGTTGTCGTCACTCTGGACCCCTATACGTATACACTCTTGATTGAAAATATTACCACAGTTCTATAGTCACCAGAGCGCGCTTCTTGTCCTACGAAGGCCTGTATATTCATTCTGTTAAATGCAAAATGTCTTAAAACTTCAGAATTAAAATGCTAATATTTTTTAAAATTGAAGTCAGTATTTACAAAAACATTGAATCATAAAAAGTTTTTTTTTTTAGTTGAGTTGTTATAATACATTTGGAGCCTGTAATTATACATTACATTTGCATTTTATTCATTGGCAATATTTTTATCGAGTAGACATCAATTAGAAAAAAATATTATGTATAATTTAGTCACTTCTTTGGATATTTGCATCCTTCTTAAAATCTTTAAATTAAATTAAAACTATTATGATTCTACTCCTAATTCTAATAGTAGTCTGGTAGAGTGGAGTATTATTTTCTAGTGCTCATAAAATACTAAAAACATGTTTAAAATATTTTGCATATTTTATTTTATGATTAGGTATATTATTTATATTATAATATTATTCAATAATAGTTATCTTATAAACTTCAAACTAATTTTGAAAAATTGTTTAGTTTTTTTGGTGTTTTCTTGTTTTTAGCACCTTGCTCATTTTTTTCTTTCGTAAGTGAATATCATTCTTGTTTTGACATAATGCGTTATGATATATTTGGTTAATATTTGACTGTGTATTGAGCAACCAACCTTTGTCAAAAAATTTGCTTATATATTTCTTCAATAAATATAAATTATGTTAGAAAAATAAACAGTGAAAAATGTATATGTAGTTTTCAAATTGAAATGCAACATTAAAAACATGATCTTTTACCGGGACAGCTAGTTATATTTATTATATTTAGATATTTTACACTATAATCTAGTACAGTATTTCTCAATTTTTTTTGTCGTGAGGCTCCCTAAATTTAATGTAAAACTGTCAAGGCCCCCTTAATCAAAATTATTAATTGTTTTTTCTAAATTAGGTATATATACTAAAATTACTTGTACTATTTCACACAGATTAATTATTAAAATGTATAGTAATTTAATATACTTTTGAAAAATATTAATGATAGTATTAAAATTTAAGTATTTATTCTTTTTCCATAAACGCTTAAAGTCAAAAAATAAAAATAAAAATAAAATAATAACATTTTTTACTAGTGTGCCTGGAAGTTCTAAGTACATTGAACCCTACAATAATCTTAAAAGAAAACATGAACACGTTAATCAATCGGAATCGGAATATTGTTCTTTAAATAAACATTTTTCATTTTTGAAATTTATTTTCTGTAGAGTACATTACCATGTTTATATTTAATATTTTTATAAAGGAGGTGACAAAGTCCCCGTGATAAAAAACAAAATGTTCAACCCCCCCATTGAAAATTCCTGAGTACGCCCCTGTACAGTGTTATTCCTTTATAATACATTTATTTAAATTACGAATTTTGGAATATAGATACTTGGAATTTTTTGTACAATTTATGAGGACACCACACCCGTGTGTGCTGCTCCGTCTTACACATGTACGACAAAACGCGTTTAAGCAGTCCGAGTAGAACTAGCTAAATTTTGGTACTAAAGTAAAAATACCTATTTGAAAATGAAAAGATGACAATATTTTGAAGAGCAAGATGGTGCGGTTTTTTTATTATTCCGAATATATCTAACACTCGATATATTGTTTAAATATAACGACCATTTCATCATTTTCAAACTAGGTACCTGTAACTTTTTAAAAAACGCACCTTTTTGCACACCAAAATATTCTCATATTTCAATTTTATAATAGGTATTTTTATTTTAAAACCAAAATTGAGAGAGTTCTACTCAGACTGCTTAAACTCATTTTGTCTATGTCGTACGTGTTAAGACGGAGACAACACATAGCATCCTCTTAAGGAGTGTCCTGTAACTGCAAACTTCTTTTTTAAATAAGAATCACAAATTTTTAACTGTAAATTGTTAATCAGATGATTTTTTTTTTTTAAATGTTGACGTATCTTAATCGAAATTTGAATGAGTTGTTTCTGAGTTATTATCTTTACCTATACCAGAATTAAAGATAAAAGTCCTTAACGGGTTTGCATAATATATAAAATAAATATAATATTTAGACATTTAGTCTAGGTAATGCATAAATTACATTTCATAATTTAAGTCATACAATTTCAATAAAATTGTCTTAGCTATTTTATTTTTAAAATCATCAAAGCTATATCTGATAGGTATATTATCATTGAGTATTATCCTTGATAATTAAAGTTTAATAACTCTGACAATGCTCTTTTGAATTTTGGTTTATAAAAATAAATACATTTTCAAAAAAATCATCTCCTTAACAGTATTTACTATATAAAAACAAAATGGTTTTTCCACTTGAAAAATAAGTTTGTGTATCACCATAAGTTTGAATATACTTAAAAATTCTAAAAATCAGAAGAATTAAAGAAAAAATGGTGGAGGGGTATTATTGGTGATTCTCCCCCGTATAATAGGTACCTAAATATTATTATAATTTATTAGTTGTATGCCGAATGACAATAGGCGCAAGATAAAATAAATGTCTGTTTTGTTCATTAATGGCAAACAATAATGAATAATTCGAGTGTTTCCACGATATGTCAATAAACAGTTCGTAATAATATTTGAATTAATTTTAACCGATATATTTCATTACCAGTGTATATTTACATAGGAAATGGTCGAAAACATCAACATTGATCATGAAATATTATATGTCATGTCATATCGACTAATTGAAACCATTTTTACCGAATACTAATAATCCTTTTATTTTTTAACGATGAGATTTTAATGAAATTATATTTTTTAGAGTACCTACCTAGCTACTACAAAAGCACTAAAATATTATATATTATTATTAAAAATTAATTTAAGCATTTTATTTTTAAGGGGATTTGGCAAACAAGGATATCAATGTCAAGGTGAGTTTAACTTCAAAATAATAATTTAGAATGTATAAATTTTTTTTTTAGTTTATATTATTAGTGTTATGTTTTTTTCCCATTGAAATTTTTAAATAATTAATAACAATAATAATAATAATAATAATAATAATAATAATAATAATAAAAATGTTAATTAAAAAAGATCAGACCCTTTCTTGGCTACCAGGGGTGTTGGTGATGGTGGTGGAGGGTGTTATCGTATTAAATTTCAAAGCAATTATTATTGGGACCCGAACGTTTTTCCCTCGAAATTAAATTTATTAAAAATTATTGCGAATATTATAATATTTAATTAAAAGTAAGAATACTTAAATTAAATATTCCAATATATACATAGCCCGTTAATTTATACAATTATATTGGATTATATTAAATAAATTAAATATATAAATAAAGAATTTGGATGACAAAAATCTAATTATAAACCTCTATGGGTGTAAAAAACAAACACACAAATTCTACGAAATGTTTAATATCGAGATTGGTTCTACAACGACGTGCTTTTTTTTTATACATAGGTATCTACCTATATACGTATATTTCGGTTAACGCTTTTTCGAGTAATAAAAAGTTGTATGCAGATAATAGATTGGAAACCGAACACAGGTGGTACATACCAGGCCTAAGCACTATTGATATTTCCAGGGCGGGTGGAAGCACAACTTCGCGCAATCACGCCCTAATACAGTAACATTGTGTCTTCAGACTTGTGTATCAAAAAACCAACTTTTTTTTCGTTGTCGTTTCATAAGAACAAATTAAAACGAGGTTTACGTGCTCTTTGGGTCCCGCCGGCGACTTTTCGTAGGGTTTTTTTTTATCCTCGACTGTGTATTCGGATTTATACACTGTTGGCGTTTGAAAACTGTTGCGGGACTTAAAATACTTTTGCAATTATTTTACACAACTCCGAATTCCATCGATTTTTCCACTGTGAGCTCGCCATATTAAAATTACAAAACATTTTCCCTTTTCGTAAGTTTATTGGCGAATCGCACGTAATGTTCAAAAAGGCAGGTAGATCGTATTTATAATCTCGAAAATAAGTATAGGATCAAACATTTTTGATTACCTATGTATAATACAAGTAGCTATCTACTATCGTAGAAAGCTTCTATAAAGCTTTGACTGTCACATATTCCATAAATATTAATTTTAGAACAGCAAACCCAATGTATGAAATTCTACGGCGTTTGAAGTTTTTTGGACTTCCAATCAAAGTATGTTTGACATCGAAATTGTGTTTTCAAAAAAAAAAATATATATATCATATTATCTATTATATATGATATCTTTCTCGGGAACTTAGCTATATTAACACAAAAAAGTTATTATATTTATTCCAATATTAATATAGTTACTTCATAATAATAAGTTATTATTAATCAACTATAACTATATTCTCTGAAAATTAGTTAATATACCTGTAAAGAATTTATAGAACACTATATACAGTAAAACCTCCCTATAACGGAACCGCTTGGGACTCAATTTTTTTCCGTTATAAAGAGTTTTTCGTTATAGGGAGGTAGAAAAACTATTGAAAGATTAATAGAAAATTATTGACATTTTCCTTTATAAGGAGGATTCCGTCTAATAGAGGGTCCGTTATAGAGAGGTTTTACTGTATTATAATAATTCAACGACTTTTCTGTTGGAAATTTGTTCATTTATTTTTTTTCTTTGGTGCAAAAATTCCGCCCAGGTAATTTTCTTGATCCCTTACTTGACTAAAATCTCGAATGCATTTTGTATAGTGTTTGAATTTGCGTTGATAATAGTTTTTCGATGAAAAATAAATTAAAATTTATTTCAAATTCAAAGACGCAACCTCCTCAATGTCGTAGCTAAGGTATTAGTGATGGCCATCACTGATGGGTAATAAATAATAATCGAGTAAATATATACGTACAGATATACGTAGTAATGTAGTATACACATATATGATATATTACACATAAAATAACTTAGTTATAACTTTATCAATAATTCACATTAAATCACTTATTATATGACAAACACCTGACTCCGATTCGGAAACGGATGCAATCCTACTATTTTTCACAATTTTTAATGTATACGTCGTTGATCATTTTTCTAAAATAAAAAATAGTAATTATATTTGCACACATATAGTTTCATTACCTTGATAATATTATTTTCGAACACTACTTGAAATTAAATTCACAAGACTACGATTCCCTGACATCTACCTACATTTGTTGACAATGTAATTAAATACATACTAATTAGCTGCAGTTGTTCATTTTTTAAATTGTTTTGTTATTTTAAATAAATTTGTTTTGACGAAATATCCTTTGATTATTGTATACAAATAAAATACAATAACACTAATCAATCTTCAGACTTAGATTTTGAGTAGATAATTGTATAAAGTGTGCTTTATAATTGTCAAAAACATTTGACTGTATTATCTATTGACCATCTATATTTTATTATATATTTATGTACAATAGATTTCAACCATTTTTACTTTCGAGTTTGTTAAAAACGTCCCGAGCTTGATAAACTAAAAAAGAACCACCATTATAGTAATAAGCTAAACTGACAACCTAGTTTCAAATTTCGACCCGAACCATTTTTCGATTACCTTAATTTATGGTTGTTTTCGGATCATTATTGTGATCACGTCAGAATATGCTGGGCTCGACCAGATATTTTTTACACTGTTTTAAGGTTATTTTTGTTATTATATATGTATTAAATTTGTTTTCCGAGCATTAGTCAAACAGTCATTGTCAGTCATTGTTAAAACTTAAAAATGTTTTTCGTTATGTTATAAAATTGTAAACCGTAGTAATTTGTCAAGTAAATTATATCGATGAAAGTTTTCTTATTACGTTGAAATGGTATCGTATGCGTTTCCTATTCTACATAACGAGCCAACAAATATGAATATATATGATACAGTCGAAACTCGAGGCAAAACGGTGTTAAAAATGTCGTCTAAACGTCCAATCGTATAATATATATTTTTGAATAATAATAATAATACATCACTCGTCGGCTGCCGACGATGAGAACGAATCGAGATTAACATTCAGTAGGATTTTTAATTTAAAAAAAAAAGTAGTCTATCCCGAGCGGTGTTCACGCAAATGATTATAGACATAAATTATCTTATCCTCACGAATATCATCAACACGCATGTGAATATTTTTAAGCTTTCATCGAATTCGGAATCCACATAATCAGGATTCTGGATTTATAGCTCACTAAAATACATTAAAATATGTGCTTTTTTCTGCTCTTAAAAATGTAAAAATATGCACAACATTTATTTATTATTACTTAATTTTAGTTTTATAATAATACCAACTATATTAATATTACATTTTATTGTACATAAAAATTTAGTATTTCAAAAATGAGAAGCATTTATATTCTTGGAAAACGTTTCTTTTTTTAAATTGGATTAAACTGCGAAGCAGACAGCCACTCTGAAACAATAAATTCAATCCAAATAACATAAATTCATATCTTAATTAACCTTCACATATTTTGATAAATATGTATCTGTTACGTTAAATGACGTTTTATCTGAATATATAACATTATTCGCAGGTCATTTGGTACCTACGTTATTTTCATGCAAACGTGCGGGCAGCATTATCATGATTTGTTTTGTGAACCACGTCGAATACTGTATGAAATAGGAAATGTTGATAAAAATAACAAGATTAATCTCATTTCCGGGATATTTATGAATTATGATTGTACTGTATGCCAATGACTGAATGACAAAACGAGTCAGCTTTAGCCTTTAGGTTAACCGTCAGACTAACGATGCACGAAAACTGGTCGTTCTCTGTCGTGGGCCGGCGTATTATATAGTTGTGTTGCTAGGCCCTCGATTGTACCTTGCACTTGCAGCCATTGCAAGACAAGTTAGTAACAATAAACATTGTGCCTGCGCCCTGCGGTGGGGCTGAAGAGTTGTGTAACGGTAAATGTCATGGAAGTGCTTATTCTTGTAAAAACAAATAATATAATATAATAATAATACATAGTTTTAAATTTAAAAAAAAATATCTAGGCACATCGTGTTTCAATTATTATTATTGGGATTCACATGAATATCACGATAATTAGGCACCTATATGTATTTTGTCAATGACGTTAATTTTAGGTGTACGTAATTTACCAAACACTAAATTATTATAATATAGTATGGCGTGGGATTATTACTACCTATCATTGGTCTAATAATGACATGGAGGTTCAATTTTTTACCAATGTGCACATAACATCTTTCAAAATATGCGAAACAAGCACGACAGTAGTAAAATATTCCCCAACATAATAAAATCCTCGAAATATGCAAAAGTTCTCAAAATACAATTTCATATTTCAATTCTTCATGTTACATACTTTGAAATGTATTTATGTATAACTCTGAAACGTTCGGCTGAAGTATGGGTATCCTATAAGTCTCGAACCCTACTCATTATGCAATAGAATATTATGTATCGTAATGTCTGTGAAAAGTTGGCCAGGGTTTTTTCCTATTTAAAATATACGATATTTCAGTTTTCCCAAGTTGTCCGAATGTCAAACAACTAATGATCATGAATGAAATCGTTTACAGTTTGCACGTGTGTGGTCCATAAACGGTGTCATATGGAAGTGGTGACGATCTGTCCAGGATTCGGGATGAAAGAGGTTGGTGATTTAATTTTGTTGTATTATATGTATATAATGTATATAAGTACCTGCATACTTGGTGTGGTAGTATTCTGAATAAAGTATTCTGAATACTGTTCAAGTATTTTGAATAATTTTAGAATACTGGTTCCCAAAGTATTTAAATTAACGCTTTATTCTGAATCGTTTTGATAGTATTTCGAATACTTTATTCAGATTAATTTTATAGTATTAAAATTAAATTTTTATTTTAGTATAATATATTGTTATGTTGTAAATCAGAAATTATCACAGTTGAATACAATATATTTTAAAATTGGCTAAAATTTCAAATTTTCCCAAAGACAAACGTACTTAATATCATTATTTAATATCTACAACAAAAAATGTACCTATTAAAAGTATTTGAATACTCTTATAGTATTTTAAACATTTTTTTTGGAATACTACTTTAGTGACGTACATATTGGAATTAAATATTTTTATAAATTTTTATTTAATTTATTTTTATTTATTCTAAATACTTATTGAAAACATGTCTGTTATATACCCACATATAATGTACAAATTCGTTTTTCTATGTTTTAGTTGAGTCAAGGAACCCAATCTCAACGGTTCAGTGTCAATGTTCCTCATAGATTCAAACCACACACTTATAAGATATTTACATTTTGTGATCATTGTGGTTCGCTACTTTACGGAATCTATAGACAAGGACTACAATGTGAAGGTTTTTATACTTATAATTTTTCATTTTATGTTTTTAAAACACCATTTATATAATATATAAAAAAGATAATGTATTAATGTTTTGAATATTATGTTTATGTCCAGTATGTACTCTAAATGTGCACAGGAGATGTGTGAAAAACGTCGCCAATAACTGTGGCATTAATCCTCGCGAAATGGCAGATACATTACGAAGCTGTGGTTTAAATGTCAGCAAAAATGTTGTAAGATTTAAACGATTTCATATTAGTTTTAAAGTTACTCATTGTTTGTTTGCAAACGACAAAGCTTGGCTAGCTTACATTTTAAAAATTATATGGAGTATAGAGTTATAGACTATATAGTTTGATTTAAACAAAAAAATTAATTTTCATTGGTACGTTCTTATATCAAAAAAAGGTTAAAGTAGGTCACCTACTTGGATTGTACAGAAAGTGTCGAGTTTACCTCGTCGTTGATTAAGTCACTGTAATAAGGTATATGTTAAATTTGAATTAAACGATAAATCATTGCATACGAAAAACAATTCTGAGCGAAGACGGTCTGTTAGCCTATATTACTAAGTATATTGTATTATAAATTTATATTACTACTATATATAGTAAGTATAAGAACCTATATAGTACAATAGGTTGAATTCATTTTTGATGAAAACAAATTTTCATTTATTATATTATTAATATTTAATCATTAAAATTGTAGTAAGTAGGTATGGGTATATAATATATTCATATCTATTCTATCTATTCTATTGTTTATAACTTTTGATTCAATACCGACTTACCGTAGAATACTTACCGTGTGGATAGGTTCGTGGTATAAAGCAATATCATTAGCATACAATTAATCTAAATGTTTTAAAAATGACATTCTATATTTTAAAATATACGTAAAAGTTTCAAATCCCCACAAAAAATAACTAAAATTGTAATAATTTGTTTAAATATCTACTTTCAACCAAATTTGAACTTAAAAGTTGGTTCCAACTATGAACTACTTTTGAGAAACCTTGGGTTATATTATCAAGTTGTAGCCGTAAAAATTTAACTTATTATATGTAATATTATTTATATTTTTATATATTTTGAACTACAAAATAACAATCAATGAATGTTTGAGATTTTGGAAAATGTTGTCGAAGTTTAAGAGGACGCTACACCATAGAACCACTCATTCTGTTGTGATAATTAAAACTCCAAATTGATATACAATATATATATAATTGAGAACATTATCTGTGAAATATCGTTCTTATTTTTTTGATATCATTTATATAAAAAAAAGTTCTTACTATAAAAGTACTAAGTTTTTAATTTTTACCTTTTTAAAGTTCCAACAATATTGAACCATAAAAAATACTGCAGTTGAAATTCAAAGCATTTTAGATTCTGAGTGAAACGATGAATGTATTGATTTTACAATGATGTGTGTTTTTTTTTTTTGTGTGTCTGTCGTCACGTTTTAGGACAGTAAAAGTGCTTGGATTTTCTTCAACAGTAGCTTTTCTGATAGGAAAGTGAATCTTTTTGGTACTTTGGGGGGTCAAAAGTAAAAATTTCCCAGTAGTTTTCACAAGCGCCGGGAAAAATTAAGGAAAAACGGGAATTTTTACGCAAAATCGGTTTTCCAAAAAATCGATTTTGGTTTTTGGTGTAACTCTAAAACAAATAAACATATATACATGAAATTGTCACTGGTTGTTTATATTTGCATTTTATATACACGATAACGTTTTAAAAATATTTTGATTTATTTTGAACTGTTTAGGGACATTTTCATTTTCCATCTTTTTTTTATATGCACTCGATTTCTCATGTAGCGATTTCCTTATTTTGTTGTAATTCAAAAACGAATAACTGTAGATACATGAAAATTTCACTGAATGTTTAAATTAGCATTTCCTATACACCATACAATTTTGAAAATATTTTGACTCTTTTTGAGCTGTTAACGGACATTTACCGCTTTCAATTTTTTTTAGTTTTTTTTTTCTATAAATATCAATAAAGTTTTATCTGTTGGGCCAAAAAGTGTAAAAATTTAATACAAGGCTCCTGATATATTGTTACAATAGCAATTGAAAAATATTAAAAATACATGGGCACAATTTTTTTTTATGAGCATTTAAAGATCGAATTTTGACAAAATTTATCAAAATCTCGAAAATTATCAATCATTGTAATTAATAAATTATAAAATGTTCAGTTTTTATAGCTAAGGATTGCAAATTTAAAACAAAGGTTCTCATAAATAGTTCATACTATATAACCAAAAAATCTAAAAAATATATCAACACAGTTATTTTTTACAGACATTTTAAATTCAAATTTGGACGAAATTACATATTAAAAAACCTAGAATAACTATTTTAGTTATTTTGTTGTGATTGAATAATATTATTCATGGGTACTTGAAACTTCTAAAGTGTACTATTATATATCTATGATAGTATCACGGTTTTTGTTGATGTATAGCGCGTTATAAGTACCTAATGGATATTGTGATATGATTAATTTGGAATTTATTATAGGTCAAATTTCCGTTTAGTACCATAGATATGTATATATTATATAATATGTCTTATACCTAGACTGACATACCGTCTCCTCTCAAAATCGTTTTCCATATACAATGATATTATATCGTTGAATTCAAATTTAATATCATCCATTATACAGTGACCCACTTGTAACCTACTGTACAGCAGAGCGACACCCACTTGCCCACCTTTTTTCAACTACATATCATGAAGGTATACAAAAAAAAAAAATTGTAAAATCCATATACTCATCACTCCACTCTGGATCTAAAATACAAGTACTTTCGTAGTTTTCGGACGAAGTTCAGTTAATAGTCATAAATGTATAATAATTATTTTCATAAAGTACTTTTATGTTTTGTGCACATTACGCACAATATTGCTCAACAGAAGGTACATTATATTTTGTTCGAATTGTTAGTATAAATACCAACTTTATGTTTAACTTGTTAGTGTCCAGCTTGTCGAACAAGATTTTTTAGATCTTATAATAATTGTATGAACAATGATAAGTCTAATCATAAAAAAGTCTAAAAAAAAGAAAATAGTTAACTTTGAATTAATATAAATTCATAGGACTGGCCTGGTGGAAATGGTAGTTTTAGCATCAGCAGTGTTACAGGAAGTGGAAGTGGTTTGCACCGTGATTTCAGTCAACAATCTTCCAATACCTTATTGAGCATAATATCTGATAAGCATTCCTCACATGACAAACGAAGTAACGACAAAATGTCCAAAAGTAAAAATTAAAAATATATTCATACTATAAAATATACTTATTATTATAAATGCGTTTTTCTAAATTATATTTACAGTGAACCAAAGCATGAGCTGTTTTAACTTAGGTAATCGAAAAATGAGTGTAACAGATTTTACTTTCATAAAAGTGTTGGGCAAAGGAAGTTTTGGCAAAGTGATGTTGGCTGAAAAACGAGGAACTGATGAAGTTTACGCTGTCAAAGTAAGATTCATATTTTATTATAATATGACTGATACACCGTACACGATAACAATGTGAACAAACAAGTAGGAATATAATTAATAACATGATTTGTTCGTTCTTCAGGTATTGAAAAAAGACGTGATTGTGCAGGACGACGACGTTGATTGCACTATGACTGAGAAACGTATTTTAGCGCTCGCTGCTAAACATCCGTTTTTAACGGCTTTACATTCTTCTTTTCAGACCAAGGTACGATGGATCTTCTATTTGATTTTAAATACTCTGCCAATTTTTGAGTTATTATTTGTTTTTGAATACATTGATAATATTTTTGTGTACGTATAGGATCGGTTATTTTTTGTCATGGAATATGTGAACGGTGGCGATCTGATGTTTCAAATACAAAGGGCTAGGAAGTTCGACGAGCTACGTGCCAGATTTTACGCAGCAGAAGTGACGCTTGCTTTGCAGTTTCTACATCGGCACGGTGTAGTTTATAGGTAAATAAATAAATCCGTTCCGGAAACATATTTATTATTTATTATATGTCTAGAACTCTAGAGTAGATACAGTTGGCCGGTTCTACGATATGGTCTTATAGGTACTCATATGATTAGGTATATATGAACACAACCCAAGCTTTATTTTTGGAACTGTATTGTGTTTGGAGTTACTTAATGTTTAATAATTATATGATGTCCAGCCCAGGAGTAGGTTAAAACAAAACATTTGTATTAGGACCAGACATGTTTGCCCACAATAAGCGGTTGCCACTTGGCCGTATTAAGCGGAATCCACTGTACTCTTTTATATATTTATATAAATACTCGCCAGAAAACGGACAAATTATATAGTATGCCCAGTGACTTGTTTTAATTTCTTGGGATGAAACTATCTTATGAAATGATATGAATGGAATTTGGGTACCCAAATTAGTAAATGTCTCAATGTATATATTATTTATACCGAAACAAATACACTGTTATAGTTAGTAAGTAAATTGCACAACATAGTGCAATAGCGGCAACTGAAGCTTGGAAAGTCTGTTGAAAAGTGTACATAATAATATTATTTTCCATATAGTTGATTAATGAAAAACTCCTTCCAAAATTGTCTCAAGTGTTGTTTGCTCCATGCTTTAACTTTATCGTATATTAATATATTATGCTATTTAAATATTACTATTTTAACACTGTTGTCCAATTGGATAATTAATATAGTTTTTATTACTTTGAAGTGAAATATAATTATTTTTGGGTATTTAAGACTTAAGTAGTTATTCAAGTTTTTGTATTTCATTTAATACGTTCAATATAAGTACCTACTTCAAAAACAAATTTATGTGTACATATTAATCTGACCACGTTGATACTTACCCAAATGTTTTATTTGATTAAAATATTGATTCTATTTACCCTTGACCACCATTTACCCTCTGTATATAATCACACGTTTAATTATACGTTTAATTATTTTCACCATAATTTATATACCTACTTACCTGATCTCTAATAATTTTTTTTTGTTTGTAGAGATTTGAAGTTAGACAACATATTATTGGACAATGAAGGCCACTGTAAACTTGCTGATTTTGGAATGTGCAAAGAAGGAATAAGTGACGGAGTAACTACTACCACATTTTGTGGAACCCCTGATTACATAGCTCCTGAAGTATGAAAATGTCAAATATTTATTTTTACAGGCCGTTATTATAGTTTTTATTTTAATTAATTTTAAAATTAAATAGATTCTTCAAGAATTAAATTATGGCGCAAGTGTCGACTGGTGGGCCTTGGGTGTTCTTATGTATGAAATGATGGCTGGCCAACCACCATTTGAAGCTGACAACGAAGATGATCTTTTTGAATCTATTTTGCACGACGATGTTCTTTATCCGGTCTGGCTCAGTAAAGAAGCAGTTTCCATTTTAAAAGGGGTAATTATTGCATCTCTATCATATGTTGAAGGCCAACTAAAATTTATCACAATCATTAACTGCATTGAAAAATGCGTTATACTTCATACTAATGCTAATAGCATTTTTACTATCAATTTAGTTCATGACAAAAAACCGTAACAAGCGTCTTGGCTGTGTGGTGGCTGATGGCTTAGAATCAGCTATAAGAAACCATTCATTTTTTCGAGATTTGGATTGGGACGCCTTAGAAAACCGTCGTGTCAAACCACCTTTCAAACCAAAAATTGTAATTTTTATATTTATTTGTATAATATATACTATACAGCAAAACTTCTGGGAATCGCTTATAGTTCAATTAATTGTAGTTTAATCTATATATTTTTATAATTTATTTACTTTGTTAGAAAAATAAAAAAGACGCGATGAACTTCGATGCTGAGTTCACTAAGGAAGAACCAGTATTGACACCTGTGCCCGTGGATGTAACTTTATCTATTAACCAAGAAGAATTTCAAGGGTTCTCATTCGTCAATTTTGACTTCAATCCAAGCAAATTCATCTCTTCTCAATCTTCAGATTCTTCTAAATAATAATCCTACAAAATAAAACATTTAATTTTGGTAAGTACTGAGTATAATATATTTAAGATTTTTTTTTTTTTTTTTAATAATACTTCACCACCTTAAATTTACATTTAGTAGTACTATGACATGTATTACATAGTATTGCCATATTTTAGTACATATAAAACTATATTTTTGGAATCTATGTAGGTTATCTTTGGAAATCCGATGTACAAAACTACACGCAATTGTGATTTATTGTGATTTGTGACAAATTTTGGACTTTTTTTTATGAATAAGTTAGTTATTCAATTTTTAATTTTTATTTAAAAAAATATTTATTTATAGGACTAATTTGCATTCAAAAGAAAAATTTCATGTATATATATAATTATTATCATAAATTTCCAAAAACCTAACATTTTCTGTTTATTTTTTATCATGAAACATTAATTATGTCTTAAGTATAAATATTAAAATCAATTAAATACATCATGATCGAGATTCGTGTTTGGACATCACACTGTTAGGTACTTAGAAGTTTGTTTTTGTTTCACTATGCCATATACATAAGAAACATAGCAAACAACAAAATGTACATAAGTTGTGTATTTTTTGAGTAGCCTTGAAGTGGAAACCCGTGTAGAAATCTAATATTTTAATCATCCTATTTATTGTACTTGCAGCTGAAAACCGATTCGAAGAGAATTTTAACGAACAATCTGCAATAAACAAAAGTGATTGTTATGTGATACGCACAAGTCTACATATTGGTATTATTACTCACGAGTTGCCTCTAATATAGTATTTATAAAACTTCTATTAAGATTATCACTCTAATGTTTGTCTAGTCTAGGATCAATTAAGCAAATCGATCGATCCTGCAATATTGATTAGTTTAGCTAAATCTAAAGTACCTAATTTATTATTAAAGTAAAATATACCCGTGCTCGAAATGATCTAGAATTCTATCGTAAATTAAACAGTATTATTTTGCATTTTATTATATAACCAAACTAGTCACTATATTATTATCAATCGTATAATCACCCTCGAATATCACTCAATTATTTAATATGTATATATGTTAATTGAACGTTAATTTACTGCGAATTACGATACTTATTATTTTTTACTACGCTATGTATTTTTGTTTAACATTATTAACGTCTATACAAAGTGACCATCGAAAATTCGTCAATCTTAATGACATACAATTCCGTGTGATGTGACCGAAACTGAATTCACATAGTAACACATATGTAACGTGAAATTCTAATACTTACCTACGAATTTGTTATGATCTAATTATTATAATATATTATTATATAGTAACCAACGTCGGAACTTTCAAATTAATTTATAATTATTTTGCTGCCTAAAACGCGTAAATAGTCCAATAAAAAAAACATCGTGGAACTTTGGACGTATTTATAAAATATATACATACCTTGAATAAAATATACATATACATATTATAAATATTATATTATTTCATTTATATGTATATTATATATTATTATTATTTTTTATAAATAATAAATACGTCCCGAGGATCTCAAATGCTTTGAAAGCGGCTCGTCCAACAATGGACTCAAAACTAATGTATTATAAATTATAATTTAAAATTAGTCTCGGGTTACCTGTATCGAACAACAATCATTTTTAGATTTAAATACAAACTCGATTAAGTCATAATATAATATAATATATTATATAGATTATAGGTATATTATTATTATAAATTTTATTGTAAACTAGTTTCGTTAAAAAAGAAAAAGAAAAAAAAAACTATAACAAATTTATTTTTTAAAACAATTGTATTGTTTTTTTTCTCAGATTAGACATAAAAGTGTGTTCATTCAAGTGGCCTTTAAATGTTTAATTTTTAGTAAAGTACGCAATATAATATAGCGAAGACACGGACCATTTAGTAAATAAATATTATATCGAACAAACATTACCTATGTTTCATGTGTTAAAATAGGATATCAAAATAATTTAAAGGACAATTTATTGAATGGCCATACTCGTAGCCCGTACATAAACAATTACCTAATATGATATTATATAATTTAATATACTGTAGAATAATACTCTACAGACGTTCTTCTATTTTATTCTTTTTTAAACGTGACCTGCTGCAGAACAGGGTCGTATTGTGGAACGGTGTGTACAATATCGAATCTGTTTTCTGTTTGTCCTCACAAATTAATATAATGTTTAAATTTTTTGGTTTCTACGGCACTAGAACCGCGTATAGGAATAATAGTATATAATAATATATAATGCGTGCAAACGAACGTACGCTTCCGCTGCCGTCGACGATAAGGTACGAAATATTTCGCTTTCGGTCGAAAATGCACACGTCTAGGTACCTATATAGTTTTCGTCTTGCAGTTGTCATGTGTACCTACACATCATTGCACAGAATAATATAATGTTCGAAAGACGTGATATTTTGCGATCTGGAAGATTTATGACATATTTAAATAAATGTAATTTTTGTGAAAATTCCTCCACATACACCCTGCTTTGGGTAAATATAATAAACGATTTCCCGACGATCATGAAATATAAACGCGTACGATTTTTCAACCCAACAACGCAATAACGACGATTCAAGTCTCCGTGTACAGTGACACAGTACACATGCAATAATGACGTACTTGATGGCGGGTGGGTGCACTTAATATTATTATCCTGTTATTTTAATATTATTCTCTGTGCGTTTCAGCTTCGGCTTGTCTGCCATTTGTTATTTTTGGTGTGTTTATCTTTACGTTAATAAACATTAAACGCTTATAAAACGTGAGAATTCAAACACCCACGCGTGGCACCCGCACACCCACCCATCGACATCGGTGCCACTTTTAAAAGACTTCTCAAACCAATAACGTATATTATGTTGACTACTCGTATAGGAAAACGATTGAAATCAGCGGATTTTAAATCTGATCCATTGGAAATATTTCGGTCGTTGTGTAGATCAACAGGTGTGCCGCAAATTCATATATTACATTTCGATTGATCCACTACAAACATAATATTATATTGATATTCAGAGAAATTCGCTTGATTTGTATGCGTATTAGAATTGTTAACCAAAAGCCATATATTACGCGTTTTTATATTACTTATAAGTATTTTATATCACAATATTATATTATTGCTTACTCGAACAGTTAGCTAATAACAATACCGCGTGGGAAACGTTTAAGCGACCGCATTCGATTCGAGATTTTACTGTGTAATTTGCGGTTGGATTTTAAAACTGACATTCGTATTCTGCTATGCCTGCAATATTGTGCCAACGATACTTAATGGAAATTACCAGACTTGACCCTAAAATAATACGGACGCGCCTTTTATTTTTTCTTGTTAATCGTCCGGACTTTAGGAACAAAATAAAGTAACCGTATACAACGACGAACTTTTAAACCGTTTGGTTTGTTCAGAACAACAATTCATACATATATAGGTACCTGTAAACCGTACATTTAATACCTAGTTACGTGTTAGATTCTAACGGAAAGCGAATATCCTAAATAATGCAAGACGTGTTGTTATACTTTTACATTATTATACCCCACGAATAATAAATAATAATAATTTCGAACAACTGAGAATCATCTCATCGACCCCTGTAAATATAAACACATCGTCGAAGGATTTTAGGGAAACTTTTTATTATTACGATATATTATGTATATCGATACCTATATTATAATATTACATATTAGGTATCTACTATACACGATCTATATAATATAATATATATACATTGTAATGGCACTAATATAAAATATTATGTAACTTCACGACGTGCAACCCTTCCACCGACACTGTTCTACAATATTTGAAACATAATAATTATATATTAATACTATAATTTTGATATAGATCTGCTTAGTTTTCGTTTACAACAGTAGATTAACGTTATTTTGCATACGGGTTCTAACGGATCTTATTTATATCTACCTATAGATTACATATTCTAAAAAAATATGTCTTTTTAACGTTTCCTATTTATAATATAATATTATACTATATACGATTATGCTCATAAAAGCAATTTAATAATTATGTACAATTTATATAGACATTTTTTTTTTTTTTTTACAACTAGATAGGCTTATCAATAACGATAAACATGTTACCTATAGGTGTTTTCATATTTTGGTCGAAGACCGTAGTTTATAGCTTAATTTTTTAATGATTTTGTTAATTTGAATTCTATGAAATCCGAACGACTATACGATAACGATGACGACGTACCTATTTTGGAATATTAAAAAAATTTAAAAAAAAAAAAAAGATAAACAAATAAAATATATATATTATAATAAAATATATTATTATAAAAGCTATTAGTGATAATAACTTAGGTTTAATTATAAAAAAAATTCTAATATAATATATACCATTAGTGATTAATTATCTATATATTTATATATACATATAGAAAGGCGTAAAAATGTGTCAACACGATACATTATATTATTTACTTTTAATGTTCAAAACTGCGTCGTTTATAGTATATAATATAATATTATATTATTATATACTCGTATTATATTATGCACAATTATTTACGTTGTCCGAATGGGATATATTATTATTATTATTATTATTATTATTATTATTATTATTATTATCATTACTATAATAGTGTTAGGAAAACATACAACAAAGCATTACATTTTATTAATAAGCAATTATCATTAGTTAAAATGATTACCACTTATATAAAGAACATTTATGCACTTAAATTTATTAATTAATTATAATACTACGTTCATTATATTGTGGGCTTGTCAATTTTATTTATTTGTTTCAATCTTCTTCTGGGTGCTGAAAACTTCCCAATATTTGTTATTATTACTTATTATTATTTATGTTAACAATGTTAATTGTTCGTGATTATGAAAAGTTCACTGATTATTTTCCAAAAGCATTTTTATTTTATTATATAGATGTAGATAGTGTAATATGGAATATTACTGTCTGGTTTTCAATCATTTTAA